TGATAAAATAATTATAAAAATGGCGTAACGATGGATACCGTTGACCTTTGGTTATTCTTGTGCTGTCCTCCTAATGTTTGAATCTATTTCAGATCAATTATAAGCTAGTACTGTACTGTTTTGAGATTATAGATTTCGGAAATTTGAATGCTAACTGATTCGCATTATATACTGAATTTCTCTGCAATATAATTCGTATCAATATTTGCTAGAATTACCATATGCAACTAGTTTAATGCATTACAGTGTTCAGTGTTTGTAATATGATTGTAGTTGATTTTCAACAATATTCAAACTGTGATTTTTATTAACGTGAACTAATTCAGTTTTTAGTTAATTAACTGTCAACATTAACAAATTAGCAAATTAATAATATAATCCTCTTATTTGATTGTAGAAAAACCATACCGGCTTTCAAACGTTTTTCGTATCTCATTAAGATATAATTACAATGCGAGTCTCATTGAAATATATTTCTAAAAATGGAGACGGTAACGGTTCTCAAAGTTAAGAACGTTGTATTGAGTGTCGCCGAAACGTCACAAAGCTGGAAGAAGATATTAAGTCTTTTATCAACCTAGTTTCGCCCCCAAGTTTTCGAAGTAGTTCGCGATGTCTTTCCGATCATATTTTGTATTTTCGTGACTCCTATGAGTGTCTTTCCATGTGTTGATACTGTGGTGATAATGTTTTGCGATTTTAGCTTCCGCTTGTGATGATAGCGAGACATAACGAATACAATGACACGTGTAAATAGTGATTTCCTTCCTCTCCGTGATATGAAATGCTTTGATACACATCATATCCACTGTTTCATTTAGCTTGAGGAGGCGGAAGTATAAAGTCGGTTTCATCCAATGTTTCAATATTTTAATAATCTGGTTGTTTTATTTCGGTCATTGTACCGTAATGTTTACGTGGTTTCACAATACAAACGAGCCGTTCTTTTATTAAATGTTTTCTGAAAGATGTCACTATATCTCTTGTTATTTGATTTTAAATCTCTCTCTGGCCACATTCACCTACAGAGAGTATATATAACTTATGCTTCAAGATAAGTTAGGGGGAGAAACAGTACATTGGAAGTATTTCAAAATAAGCACGTGAATTACACGTGATATGATGGTTTTATCATGTGTTTAGCATACATACTTAATAGAGACGCTTATTAAATTAAAATGATATCGATGATACACATTCAGACAGACAAGTTCTTTGATTTGAATGCTTTTAGTCTTGAATGAATCTTCTTTGGCATGCATAAATCATTTTTTTGTACATTTTTAAGTCTGGTGTTATTACGACAAAAAGAAGTGCAAGGAAAATGTACAATTGTTGTGCGGACGTTTTTTTATTTCCCAACTACTTTGTGCAATGATATGATACCTTCACAGTTGGTTTTGGTAGTAATGTATATACATGTTGAGTCATTTATGGGAATCAGATGGCATTAAGGATTAAGTTCCTTCTCTCGAGTTCCTTCACATATGTCCTTTTATAGGAATACCCTTCTGTGGGGATTGATATGGATGTACGTTTGCCATACTTGTGACGTATTTATGTTGTTGCTTTTGTAAATGACATTAAACTCAGATGTAAACAAGAAGTCAAGTCGTTATTTTACAAATCCAAACATTACAGAGCTCAGCCATTTTGAACCTATGCGTTAAAGGATCAAGCTATGATTTATTCACAGCCCCTCCCGGTTAAACATTCCCATTTCGAAAATTCGAATCTTCTTCAATAATTCTTTCAAATACATTGAAACATTTCCACGTGTTTGGTTACATAACATGGTCTTATTTGTGTAGTTCTTTCTAGTTTTTCGCTACGTTCGCAACAGAATAACACACGCAATTTTAACCCCGCAATTCGTTGTCCTTTTGATTGAGAGTTAGTTTGGACTGCTTCCTTTCGACGATCTTGGACGAAATTTTAACCTTGCGATTTTTTTCTCAAAGCAAAAAAAATATCGTGACAATTTCATTCCACCAAAAAGGACATTGCAAATAAATTAAGCTAATTGCGTCGTGGTGACATGCCTCCTACAGTATTCAGATGTGGCGCTGTCAGTCATCATCTGCTATCTTTGTACTACTGAGTTACGAAAGGTTCTAGACAAAATGCAAGATAACATTGGAATGTAAAACTACGGAGCCCGTTTACTGACTGCTACACTCTTATTTTATTTCGTTTTATCGAAATATTAGTTCGTTTAATCGAATTTTTATTTCGTTATAACGAATTATTATTCTGTTATAACGAATCATTATTTTGTTTTATCGAATTATTATTTCGTTTTATCGAATAATTATTCGGGTTTTTTAGGTCACCTGAGAGGAAGTCTAAGCTGTCTTATTGCGATCTTTTGTCGTCGGTCGTGCGTCTGCCGTCGTCCGTCCTTATGCAAGTCACATGGTTTACTTCTTTACCAAATCGATGAAACCAATTTTGATAAATAATCCTTAGGGATTGTAGGGCAGGGCCAAGAAAACACCACCAATAAGGTTTTTTTTCTCTATTTTACCAATTTATGTTTTCGCTTGATAGAAGATGACTCCTCTGTAATCTTAGTCAGACGCAAGCGTAGCAGAAAATCGAACTGGGATAATTAACACACGGCTCGGTTGATGCAGGATGCGAATAAATATCGGCAAATATTTTAGATAACCAGTTTGTCTGTAATACCTAGCAGAATTTATCATAATGTACTTTATGCTCCTTCAACTCAAAGATAACCCAACAGCAAATTGAAGTTGAAAATGGCCACCGAAGGTGACAATTAATGACAAATTATTACATGACATACATTTGATCACAAGTTAATTTACATAATCTAGATTACAAAATGTACATCAATACACATTGTTTTGGTAATTATCTAATTATGACCTTTAGCCATAGTGGGTAAAGGTCATAATTAGATAATTACCAAAACAGTGTGTATTGATGTACATTTTGTAATCTAGATTATGTAAATTAACTTGTGATCAAATGTATGTCATGTAATAATTTGTCATTAAATGTCACCTTCGGTGGCCATTTTCAACTTCAATTTGCTGTTGGGTTATCTTTGAGTTGAAGGAGCATAAAAGGCAGCTAATTTATTAGCTTAATTTATGCCTTGAAAAACTCAAAGAAACCTTTTGATCTCAGTTCATGATTATACTCCCAAATCATTAGGGAATTATTTTTTAAATTATGTTTGTATAATTTTTTTATTAAAAAGTAGGCATTTCAAATTCAAATTATTTTTTATAGTCGGATGAGAAACTTTTCCTCTAATTTGATTGGTCAAGCCATATTAGGGAACAATCTTGACATGCATGCGCACTTTGTAGCGTCACTTCCAGCTTAAGCAGAAAAAAGTTTGCGTTCAGCCTCCACGAGAGAACTTTATTTATCTGAAAATAGTTAAGCAGTATCTTATACAGCAGTTTACGGGATCAAATTTAAACCCACCCTCTAACCCCACTATGGCTAAAGGTCATAATTAGATAATTACCAAAACAGTGTGTATTGATGTACATTTTGTAATCTAGAGCTTTTGTAAAATTGACCGGGAAAAACTAGTGACTATTCAAAAAAATTGACGTAAACCAATAAAACAGAAATACTGGAGTAAATACGGATGAAAGTAACACATTTCATAATGAACGCTTTCTTTGTCTTTCCAAATGGTGGCACCCTGTTCGATATTGCTGAATTTATAACAACTAAACCGCTATTTTTCATGCATCATAATGGTTAAAATAAAATAAACAATTAAATAAAAAGTCAGCGGTATTAGGTGGCAACGTTTTCGCAAAAAAGTAAACGACGAGTAATGTAAGAAACCAAATCATTTTTATCAAAGAAGAATTAATTTTATTAAAATTTATAATTCCATGACAATATGATTTCAAAGTGAAATACGATGCGTTCATTCGCCCTTTGAGTTATGCCTATTAATAAACTTCTTAATAATTCACAGCTTCTGTCATTTTGTCAGTTTTTGCTTTGATTTTGTAATTTCAACATAACATATCTTGAATATCCAAATTTGCATATTTACGTATATAACTGTGCGTGTATTTCACGCAGTCTTCCTAATGAATCATAATTATATATATTTTATTTATCATTTTCTGCATTGATTTGCCCGAGATTCTCCATGCTTCTTATTTATACTCTTGCCAAAGCTTTCTAATGAATCATCATATCATCATTTTTTTCCCTGACTGACGATTCTATCATTTAAACAGACTAATGAAATTCTCATTTGAACCTGTTGTGTGTAAGGAGATATTCTGCAGTTAATGAATAGTTATTCTATTCCCTTCGAACACGAGAGATATTTTTTTCATAAACCGTCAGCTAAGTGACTCTTAAAAACTCATATTTGAAAGACATTTTCTTGACAATTCTTAAAGAAATTAGTAGCCTTCCTAATTAATACTTTTGTTAATAAAATCTGTTCCTGATGATACCAAAGCATGGGGTAACATATGGCGTGAGATAATTTTACACAATTTACCTTTATCCTTCCCTCGGTGAGGAGGCCTACCTGACGAACAAAGGTGGGCGTGACCAGGTAAACGAGAACTAAATACGCATGCGTGCTGATGTGAACCGTATCATCATATTGTCGAATTTAAGTCACCTATCATTAGTCGATCATTAGTTCCAATATCAGTGAGGAAGACGGAACAAGTAGTCTGGTTATCGCCTTGTAATCAGAAGATACCTGCATTTTGCAGGTAGATACTTTGAACGCAGCTCAGAACAACAAAATTGGATGAATATGTTCGCGATTTCAAGTTACAGTAAAATACGTTGAGACGGCTAGTTAAGTTAGGTGTTTACAGAAGCAATTGAAATGTCATTTTAAATAGAACTCGCTGAATTATTTCAGTTTCTCTATGTGCATCTGACAATATCAGCAGAGAGAAATACAATCTGAATTAAATATGGATATGTTTGCATCCATATTTGCTGCAAATTATGCGTTTTATAGTAACATGCAAGGTAGAAGACCGGTTTTCTATGCTCCTGTCGCTTGTCATCCTTCTCAAGTTCGACAATTGTTATCTACACACAGTTCATCAAATTTTCGAGGATCGCCAAATTCGACATCTATGAACTATCCAATACTCTCAGAACAAAAGAACGATTCTTACGGAAATAACACAAAACATAAAACTGCCGAAGGTGTGAAGTTTTCTATTGATAGAATTTTAAATGAAAAACCAGAAGTACCAGAAAGTGACGAAGATGACAATAACGGAGGAACAGTCGACGAAACAGCTCATGTAACAGATCTGCAATCGACAGACTCAAGTAAACAGTTCCCATGGTTGCAATGCACTCGATACAAACCTCCAAAACTACCAAGTAAGTAAATATAATGATAAAACCCTTAACGCTTTATTATTGCATGTAAGTATATCATATCTCCGGTGTTAGCCGATTTCAGTAAAATAATTTGCAAATTATTTTCTGAAATCATATTTTGAATTAATGTCATGGGTGAATATCAATGTCATTTATGAACGTATACTAATTTCTGTTTATGAACATTTGGCGTGTTGATATCTTAATACTTTTTACTACAAGGAATTATAACACGTTTTATATGGAAATAAATTGTAGACACATATAGGATTTGATAATTATTTCTAAAATAAATTTGACTCAGTTTCAATAGATGGATGTCAATGTCATCAATACACGTGTTTTAATATCTGTATATGAACATTTTATGTATCAATAAACTGATAATTGTTTTATTATTGCAAGACATTATGTCATGCCTTTCGTGTTACACAATTATAGATACATTTCACAGGAGAATTTGACATGAGTGTCTGAAATTAGCTTTGTATAATTGCCACAGGTGTAAGTCAATATCATTATCCTTATATACGTCCTAATATCTGTATTCATGTTAGCATTTTGTAGATTATTATGTTGGTATTTTCGACAAGAAATTATTCCATGACTTCAATGCTTACGCGGTTCGATTCATATGATTTCAGGTTTTAATATGCATTTCTGAAATTATTTTTGATTAAAGTCGCAAATATGGATATCAATGTAATTAATGAACGTATATGAAAACGTTGTAATAAGAATCTAATGTGATTAGTAAAATGATTGCATACTATTGGTTCACATTATTAAATCGATATATCCAACAAAAGAATGTGCTGAAACATAATTATTTATGCATCCCTGGTCAATGAAATAAATAAACTGAATGCTATTCACATGATAAAAGGAATGCAATCTATTGTCGTAAGTTATGAATTGAAAATAGGTATGATATCTTAATAGCATGAACGGATAGTTAGTGAATCAGAATATAACGGGACTATTGCAATAGTGTGCTTTATTGTTTGATAATATTTCTATGAATTATTAGCGTTAAAGAAGAAGTTAACTCGACGATTGATAAGATACATATTCTAAAAACTATTATGCCGAAGGATTCTTCAAACAGAATCTTCACAAACAGAAGTATTAAAGTTGCGGGTTATTTATAATACGGATATTAACACGAAACAAGGCATTATCATCAGCCGCATTGTTGTTTTAGTGATATTCTAATTATATTTTGTATGATCATTGGAATTAATCTGACTGTGTATGCTCTTAACTTCTAACGGTTACTGCCGAGTGTCTTAATGTAAATATGAAATTGTAAATTTACTAAAATCATATCGTATTGATATTTTTAAATTTGACTCGGGTCAATATTTTCTTTGTCTGATTGTATAGCCTTTGCAAAAACGCACAGAATGTATCAATAGACAATGATTTGTTTTCTTTTGAGAAAACTAAACTCATCAAATTGTTAAAGATAATATTTATATATAATCTAACATATAATGTTTGTATTTGTTTTCAAAATATTAGTCATATAAACTAACACGCAGTTTTAAATGCACGTCAATTGTTTGGAAATTTATGAAACATTTTCTTTGTTTACATTCTATTTTCTCCCTCTTTGGTGAAACGAGCAATTCACCAATATTCTATAGCATTTTGTTGTAGCTATATCACCGCGATATATAACATTTATGTTTTTAATTACACCCCAATTTATTTATAACACAATTCTCATTCTGAAACAAAAAGGAAGTTTAACATTAAAGTAACATTACTATTTATCTTTTTATGTTGGTTTAATAAAACAAACCGAAGAAATATAATACTAAGACTACGAGATATGAGGAAAATTCAGTGTGTTTTGATATACAAATGTACATAAATAGCTGATATTGATGGTTTTAAAAGCTGAAAGAGGGCCATGAAATTTAAATGCTTGAATTATTAATGGTACATCGAACTAAAGTATACGCTAAATAGGCAGGTAGAAAGCGTTATGTTAAAGTTTTTTTTTATTTGAATGACATATGAAAGCTGTTAAACTACAATATTAGATTTACTGAGAGTTCAAATGATTTACTTCAATTCGTGAATTTGCATTTGTTTTTAATGTTTTTATGGAAGGTCAATTATACAAGAAAATATTTTTTGTTGGTCTTCCAAAAGTGACATGGCTTGAATTTAGCCGGAACCACTTGAAAAATTTCCACGTGACAAAAAAGAGGAAGGGGAATAAAAATTGAAAATCGGAATTGAAATAAGAAATTTTCTTATAATGAAACACGTTCACATCTTTTTTATCATGTCTATGATATTTTACTCATTTGCAACTCTTTCTCGAGTAAGATATTTAAAAACATTACTCCAAACTTTCGTTGCTCTAAGAAAATAAATATTTTATTATTTTTTTCAAGCATATGTTCGTCTGGTATCCCTCATTTTCTATAAACAAACTTTATAAATGTTTTATTGTAATTCCTTTGTTCGATTTATTCATTCACGGATCTTTAAGTTTGGTCTAGGTTATATAATAAGTCACAATACAATCTGTTTGCTATTATTGAACTAAAAACACCAGAATTAGTCCACTAAAATGAGGACTTTAAATATGACGCAGTATTCTTACACATACGAAAAGTATGCACTTTTCATGAAATATATCCAAAATCAGAATTTGAAATTAGTTTCAAAATCGTTTCTAAATCATGTCATTTGTTTATGATTCCGGATGTTAGAATACAGTTGGTCTGTTTCAGTTCACTGGTTTTACTATAAACTAGTGAGCAGGCAGATGCAAACGTGTTAATGTTGAGAGAACAGTGTGTCGATTTACATTGAAGTCATACTTAAGTGATCATAAAAACGAGCATGTATCTGTCAAATAACAGAACCGGAGCAACTAAATGATAGGTCCGCAGCAATTAAATAATAGGTCTGCAACTGTCAAATAATAGGTCTGCAGTGAATACTGGATCAGCCCCCCATTGTGTTTTGTCGCGTCCATTGCTTGGCCGTGTCGACACTTTAATCAGCTGCATTGTCATAAATTGTTTCATAGGACGTTCAAAACAAGATTAAAACTGACGAAGAACCCTGATATCCCTAACAGTGAAACAAATGCCAAACGTGCTGATTTAATGTCAATGCTGCGGCGCGGCGACGTTGCCGATTGAGACATTTATAGCGATTTGGCTGTCTACGAGCCTTCTTTATGCTAAACCAGAATGCTATTTTGTGGTTTGACCTGAGTAAAACTTTTTAAAGGAATAACATTTTTTTTGTGTGAAAAAAGTCATTGTCAATGTTTCTAAATATTGAGTTGAACATATAGTCATCAAATCTAATAAATGTACCTGAAAACAATATCGTGTAAAAACTAGACATGCAAACGAACGGAAATGACAAATGACAACCTATTAAACACACGAGATTATAAGTTGTACTTTTCTTCTTTTGAAACATATAAAAACACACTTATATTTTGTGAAAGAACAAACCGAAACGCTCATTATAATTCATAATGCAATGCTGCTCATACTGGTAGACTCAGATATGTGAATAATACAATGAATACAATGGGATGTGCTCGTTGATATCACACTGGTTCTATTGTTCGTTCATTTCCTTTCTTTCCTGAAGTTTATTGGTTGCAATTTGTTTTCTTTTAAGGGCTTCAGAAAAAGGAGGTAACGAAGAAGAGAAAACTTGGAAGGAACCCGCGCGTTCCTTTTACACAACATCAAGTTGCAGCACTTGAGCAGAAGTTTCGGCAAACCCACTACTTGAGTAGCATGGACGTTGCTGAACTGTCTACTGCACTCAACCTTACAGAGACACGGGTAGGTATTAGGGTAGTACGCTCACCATCATAGAGACACGGGTACGCATAGAAGTTAATGTTGCGCCCAAGATCTTTGCTTATTAGTTTATTCATACAAAAAATAAATTGGTGGAATCTTGACGTTACAATGACGTTACAGCCTTTGCAACAGAAATTGTTGCACCGGCTGACCAGTCAAATGTATTTTGTGGTTTATCAACACTTAACATGAAAATGTCAAATATCATCAATCAATACCTAAGATGTATACAGCTTAGCCCATATCGCACGAAATACGGTAAGTTTACCTTTAAACTTCTACTTTCACTTTAACGCCGTATTGATCACGGCCGCGATCGGCTGCCATGGTTACGATAGGAGGACGGTATGTTTGAATAGTAAAATATCTACCATCTTTGCCGGAATGGCCAGAGGCATGAATTACAAAATACAACCACTCTGGAATAGTTACTCATAAGGAAACAGAAGGATGGATGTCGATTATATTCATTCAGTATAACGTCTGTCAATGTTAAAACATTGAAGAGTTCCAATTTTGACATATGAACGTTAACACTTAGGTATTTATTTCTCTGGGGACGGGAACTGGGCTGAGCACCTAAAGCATATAGTTAGAAATTAAAATTGAAATTGGCAAATTATCATTCCAAAAATGTACATTTCTTTCAATTTTGGAAAATGGGGATTTAGTTTTGGACAACATAACAACTGCCTAGTCCAAACTGCTAGAAAGTTTACAAGAAGGAGCCGCACGTATAGTAAGCGATGGGACAAAACTTCTGGCTGGAAACCACTCAAAATTAGACGTGACTACCATAAAATTCTACAGATATATAATGATAATCGCATGACCCAAACATATCTTAGAGACATTATAATTCAAACAAATTACGATATTCACAAATTGCCAAAAAACATTAAAAACTGATCTGTCTATCTCCAGACATAAAAAACTAATTTAACAGAAATGTTGTTGTTTTTCCTTCCTATTACAATAACGGTTCCCGTATTGGTCAGATCCACCATACCAGGTTACGCATGGAAATGAGTTCTTTGGATTAATATCTCAATACCCTCACCTGGACCCAGGGGCGGGTCCAGGTGAGGGCGTAATGGGCGTAAAACAAAATAAAAAAATATCGTAATCTGCTACTATTGTATTGAATATGGCAATTTATCATATTCATTAATTAAACGCATACTCTGATTTCTTGTTATACTGATTCCCCCATCCGATGGGTGATCCGTAAAATTTCGTTTCTCCGCCGTATTCGACTCTGCGATTAGTATCCATTGTTGTTGACCACGTGATATAGTGAAATCGTCAAAGATGTCGACGTCAAAACAAAAGCGTCAACAGACCTTAAAATCATCTCAAGGTGTCTTGGACACCTTTTTTAAACAACCAAAACGGTAAGTAAATCTATAACGCCTTATACCCTAGAATTTGGAATTTCTCGTTATTGGTCTACTGCTGTTAAGATCCATCCAATCATTTTGATATACCATAGACAATTAATGGAGATAATTCGGCATAAAAAATGTCAAGCCCTGACACTTTAACTATAAAATATACATGCTCCAAGTCAGGAACCGTTACATTAGTTCATTTCACAATTATTTTATGTTTTTTAGCAAAAAAAGGTCCAAAAACTTTTGAGATTGGATTCTACGCCCCCTCTTTCAAATATCCTAGAAACGCCCCTGACATCTTGTAGATAGTCCTATATGATTTGCCTTGCTGCCTTCGTTGTCACAAGTATGAAAACCCAGACGCAAATGCCTTTATCGCCCTTCTTAACAACTTTCTACTTATGTATTGCGATATGGAGAAACGGGTAGGTATGAGGGTAGTGCGCTCTCTATCACAGACATACAGTTAGGTATTAAAGTTGTACGCTCACTCTCACAGAATATAGGGGTATGTAATATACCATTACACTCACTATCACAGAGACCGGGTAGGTTATGAATAGAATCCATCCCTGATATGAGGTATGGATACGGTTATGCAAACCCTAGGGATAAAATATTGAGCAAGAGACCCGAGGCTTTGCCGAGGGTCTTTTGCTCAATATTTTATCCCGAGGGTTTGAATATCCTTATCCTTACCTCATATCAGTGATGGATTCTAAATCTTGCTTATTACCTAAAACCCGTAAAAACCGCTAGTAAAGTTGTAAACTGTCCGCACATTTCTCATTTGCATATGAAGCCCGGATGGCAATAATTAGTGACGTCAATGACCCTGACTGACCCCAAAACGTCATGAAATGACGTCACGAACAATAGCGTGACCCCGAAAGGTCACTATAATTCCCCCGCCAGTCTGCGTGGGTAAGCGATCTAGACCCATGGGTCGGATAGAATTTTCAAGCACCGCCGGAAATGCGGATATCTCTGTCTAGTATTCAAGAAACAGTAATACGTTCACGAAATACGGGTAAGTAATACAGCAATTACAATAGTACGCTCACTCACAGAGATGCATGTATATATTTACATTTGCATGACAATGTCACTAGATAATCTACTTGAAAGCTGTGTCGTTGATGGGACATTAAATGACATGCACCACGAGGCACAATTCTTAGCCAACCATCACGCAACAATACGCTGTTCCAGTTATTGAATTTGTTTAGACTGTCGATACGGCGGGATTTTTTTATTTAAATACAATTTGTAAGTTAAAAAATACGTGAAAGTCAGAGAAAATATAAATGTAAGTATGAAATGTTTTGGTGATGTTATTTATGATCTAATTGAAAGATACATCTTTGCCGAGCAATTTAACCAAATACATGTAACACATGTTTTTCACGTGCTATCGGTGAGTCGAAACTCGACACTTGGTTATCGACGAGTGCTCTATCCATTGCACTTCCCAACCACCCAAATCCTCTCAAACCTCAGACATACGGTAAGTTATTACTAGGTTTATTAGTACATATGTACTTTAACACGAACGATAACACTACAGTATATGAGTAGATATTTGTTATCATACTTGGTGCGACTGGATAGTGGACAGATTCAGGATAATTAATTAATATAAACAAATATCGAATCGTGACATAACGTGTGAGTTTTAGAAACCATATTGAGTTCCATTTACTGACTGGTGGTGTCATACACGTGTTAGGAGACGCTCGATATCACCGACACTCTGGATAATTATACCCATGTCAGCTTGTGTAACTATCTCGTGTAGCTACAGTACCAAATTAAATTATCACGTATGTGTCCGTGTTAAAAAAGAGCTGATCTAACTGTAAAGCTATACTGTTTAGCCTTGTGGATATATCTTACTTAAAGCCTCAAATAGCTGCTCCTGAATAGTATACTACCCCATAATTCGTGAGTTTACTATAAATGCTTACCTGCCAAAGGAGATTGTTTCATTTCTTATCAATTTTGTATTTTGTATAACTAACAATCCAAATATAGTACATTATTCCATAATTCGACATCATTACTGAAATTTGTTGTAACGAATGATTTTCGGTTAGTTTATTACTAAATATGACGAATTTTGATACCAATTGCTGGTGAAAATTGTTCATAGTTTCACCAGATTAAAAAACCACAGAAAAGACAAAGATGTGATGCTCTCCTTTATGAGACAGGCTATATGATGAGTGCTTCATTACCTTTTCGGGTCAGCACTACGTTGATATTGATATCAAACTGATACGATACACATCTGTCAACAGCTATATCATCCTTTGTTATATTTTGTCGCTTTTCACTGCATATTTTATTAGACTATTTGCTCGACTTGATCTACAATAAATGTCTCGCTCGAGCAGGGAATCACAAAATCGTATGAAATGTACATCAAACAGGAATGATATCCGTATTATCTCGGCTTGAAACAATATCATTGGCAATGATTATCCTACGAATAGCTATAAACCCATGACATTTTGGCTTTGGTGTTATCGTTCTGACCGAAAATGTTATTATAAGTTATGAATAATTCAATAAATGAAGGAAATATGAAACCCGTATTATAATGGGAGCAAGATTTTAATGTGGAACAGTCAACATAAGCGCAGACACTAGCTGGTTTCGGTAGGTAAATTTCCTTCTTAACTGACTTTCTTTTCTTTTCTTTTTTTATCTTTTATTGCGTCTTTCAAAATCCAAATTTGCCTACATCATAATACTCGAGTATTCTTTTTATCACATTTCGCCCAATAATAAATAAATTAGTTATATCCCGGATAAAAAGCGTTATCCTGCCAATCGGATGTCGTATGTCTTTGCCGGTCAGAGGTCGTGGCGGCCATTTTCGATATCCGCTTATGCTCATGATTACTCTACTCGTGCAATTTTCATTATGATCCTGCAATTTGTAAAATTGTCTTAGCCAATTAGAATCCTGTGCATGGTCGCTATTTTGTGAAATTATCTGCTTTATTTCTCATCCCTAGAGATTGTTCAAGCAAGCATCCAATGATCCAACTTTCATTAAAAAATCACGAAATAGAGCAAATTATGTCTTCAATGGGTTATCGGGTGGCGCACTTCCCTTTCGCCATGGCGGCCGGGGCTCGATTCCCCAATCGGACGTGAAAAGGTATGGAGTCACCTGTCTGACCATGTGGGTTTTCTCCGGGCACTCTGGTTTCCTCCCACATTTAGATCCCCGCGCGCTGACATCCGGGCCAATAAGAGTGATTAATATAAGTTGAAATAACTTGTTTCATAATTGTTGTAAAATATATAAAGTTTATCTTTTTTTTTACAAGCTTTCGCATTCACTCAAATAATAAATTGCTTGATGCATGCCTTCACCTTTTCAGCACAGCTCCCCGGTAGTCGCAAATGTCATGTCACACAACAATGGCATTTTTTTCTGCCTTATAAATCACCACTTATGGACGCAGGTGTGGAACTTTCTCAGATGCAAGGACTATACTTTTTTACTAAACTTCTTTTCTGGGGACATAACTAGAATTAATAACTTCTGATACTGTGGAAGGATGTTGAAGA